GGGAGGCCTTCAACGAGATGGATTGACACGGTGGCTGAGATGATGGGCTCAAGTATAGCAGGGATTGTGGGGCTGGCGCGGGATTGGGCAGTGTTTCGTTCTGCTGTGCATGGGGTCGCTATGAGTCAGAAATGACTTGACGGCACTTAACAACAACAACAACAACACCCACAACTTCTTACCATGTAATTTTTGCATATAGCTTTTGGATGAAGTATTCTCTTCCCCTCCTCAATTTTTTTCAGTCTAGAAAGATTGTACTTTAAATTTTTACTTCTTCTTTGTTGTCCTTATAGTGGCTACTTAGAAAAGTGTTTCTTATTTCCAATTAGTTACATTTGTAAGGGGTAAGAGTGAGTCATTTTTAATGATTAATTTCTTTTAATTGTTAATTTTAAAGAAATATACTTTTAAACATGCCATCTATAAATGTGCAACTTTAAAGATGAGTAAGGAAATACAAGCTCAGGGCTGAGAGTCTATATATAGATCCAAGGGAATTGCTAGACAGCAAAATTGGCATTGTAATTCCATGGGCAAACAATTCTTTCTTTAACCAGTGATCCTGGCTATCCATGTACAAGGAAACAAGTTTAACCCCCTCTTTCATAACATAATAAGGAGCTCTGGTGGTGCAGTGGTTGAGGCATTTGGCTGTTAACCAAAAGGTAGGTGGTTTGAATCCACCAGCCACTCTCCAGAAGAAAGATGGGGCAGTCTTTTTCCATAAAGAGCTATAACCTTAAAATCCCAATGGGGGTCGCTATGAATTGGACTACTCAATGGCAGTGAGTTTGGTTTGAATTTTTGTAACATCTTAAAAGTCCCTGGGTGGAGCAAAGACATTGTGCTTAACTACTAACCTGAAGGCTGATGATTCCAACCTACCCAGTAGCACTACAGAAGAAAGATCTTGACCATAAATATTACACCCAACAAAACACTATGGAGCAGTTCAACTCTGCAGCATATGGATTTACCATGGGTCAGAATCTACTCAATCACAATGGGTTTCTCTTTTTTTTGTGGAGAGGTTTTTGTTTCTACCATATTAAAATAAGTTATTCGATATGACAGGAAACATTACATAAATGAGCTCTTCCCTAAAGAAATTCACAATCTAGTTGCATAATGAACAGATATGGTGGAGTTAGGAATAGACTGTTACTTTGGAGATATGAACATCAATTATAAATTATGCTTGGTTAGGCATAAGAGAAGAGTTTGCAAAGGAGCATTAGTTGAGATATTCCTTAAGAGATGAAGGAGTATATACTAGGTAGAATATGAGAAGGCACAGAATCATTAAAGGACCTTATATTCAATTATCCATAAGCTCTGATGATGGAGAGGTTAAGGCATTCAGCTGCTAACCAAAAGGTCAGCAGTTTGAACCCATCAGCTGTTCTGAGGGAGAAAGATGTCAAAGTCTTCTGTAAACATTTACAGCCTCAGAAACCCTATGGGACGATTCTACTCTGTCCTTTAGGGTCATTTTAAGCTGGAAATAATTCAATGGTGTGAGTTTGTTTTGTTTTATTTTTTGGTATTCAGGTATCGGTGACAAATTCAATGTAATTGAAGTGAAGTGAATTATTGAAGAGTTTGAAATGGAACTAGTTTATGAAAGGACTTATATAAAAGTTAAGAAGTTTTAACTCACCCTTAAAAGAAGGCTTTATTCAGGAAAATGCCATGATTATATTTCTCTTTTAGAAAATAACTTTGTGGAGCATGAACCAGCAGAAGATTGGTAGTATCATAACAAGAATTCCTTAAATAGCCCAAGTGTGAAAGATAAAAGCCTAATACAAAAGCATGAAAGTGTGATTAGGGAGGACTGGCCATTTTAATCAGAGAACATGGTTTGGGAATGGACTGGATATGCAGTCTAAGGGACTAAAGTAGAACCTGAGGAAGAGCCCAAGTTTCCTAATTTAGGAAACAAGAGAGCTAAAGATGTCTCTGGTTAGGATAGGAAATGCAAAAGACGTGATGGGTTTTAATGGGAAGATAATTAATTCAATCTTAGATAGTTTAATGAAAACTGTCTAACTGGATGTGTTCAGTATGAGTTGGAAATATGGATCTGAAGTTCAGGGCTAGAGTTTTAGATTTGGCTTTCACAATCCTATTGATGTTGTTGAAGCTACAACAACCATCTGATTGTCATATCAACGAAGGAGAGCATGCACTCACTGTAGAGTGAGAAAAGGTGGTTTTCTCAAGGTTGCTAATGCCTAATTCACCATCAATTTTCCCTCTCCTCCTTATTACCAGAATTCTAATGGTTACTACGATAACCTTGTATCCATGTTAAAAGCCATTTAAATTTCAGTTTCTCCTTCAGTGAGATATGTCTATGTGAATAGTGACTAGTGATACGTTAAGTGGAAGTATTGCATACCCAGGAAATTTCCTTAGAAGACAGAAAGTCTACTTTATCTCTTCTGTCTTTCTTCCTTCTTACTATTCCACCTCGAGGATAAAAGCCATTCACTAGGACGATGGCTTCCTGAAAACTGTGCTTTAGATTATTCTGTGAACCAGAAATAAGTTTCTGTGTTGTTTAAACAACCAGGCCAAAACTAACCCTAGCTGATAAAAATGAATACTGATATTATTGGAATGAGAAACTCATACATTTAGAGTAGTCTGGAAAGGAATGGACAATTAGATAAAAAAAAAAAAAAAAGAAAACAGCAAAACAACCTGACATCTTTATGAGACAGGAGGGAGTGTAAAAGTAGAAATTAAGTGAAAAAGACAGATTCAAGACACTGGTACAATGTTAACAGATATTTAAGAGATAAAATAAGTAGACGCTTGAATACTAGGGAATTAATTCAGAGTTACTAAATCTCTATTTACTTTAAAAAGAGCAGTTTCAAGACAGTGGTAACTGTGAAAACCAAGTTGAAATGAGCTTCAAAGTGAATGATAGTTAAATTCAGGAAGAAAGGAAGTAGGTTAATGGTAAAAGGAAATAAAAGAAACAAACAGATATTTGCCGTCTTTTCCTCACAACTGCATCTCCTATTATGTCGATTCTGCTTATGTTGACTGTTGTTTAATAAAAAAGGTTAACTTAATCTTTTGCTAGTAAACTCAAAGCCTTCAAAATACATTAGAAATAAATGGCCTTTCCAATTCAGTGTTACTTTCATTCTACCTGGGTCCTGGTTTTGTCTTTTAATAGTATGATTATCTGGAAAAGAAAATATTCCTCTTCCCAATTCAAATTCCACGGACGCATATGCATGAGAATAAGTAGAGTGGAGATAGAGATAGCCTGCAGTTTTGATGCCTGAAAGAAATGAAGGCTGTTTTAATTCTGAATTTCTTATTCCATTATGCAAAGATTACTTACTTGTCTCAAGGAGTTTCAGTCCACAAAAGGAATGCGAGAATATTGGGACTTTGTTGTGTGATTTGTTTACAAGCTCTTATGCTTTCTTTCCTCTTCTCTGCTGCCCAGGATCTGGCCCCTAGTCCTAGCTTCTTTTCTGCTCTCCGTTCTCCCTCCCTCCCTTCCTTCATTCTTTTCTCTCTTTCTTCTTCCCCCCCTCCCCTAGCAGTAGAAAGGACACACTTACATTGGTACAGAAGCTATGCAAGTGAGGGAAATTGAATGGAGTGCTTGGGGGATTTAAATACATTTTCAAGGGTAAATGGAAAGTATTTGTCACTAGGGGATGCACTGGGCAGGAAATCATTGCTTTAGGGAAGTAAAAAAAGTTAAAAATCTGGGTTAGGAGCACAGGTGCCTAAGACTGAAAACATAGCATGGATCAAATAAAATATCTGACTAATGTAAATATCTTTACTGTATGAATATGGTATGGATCATATTTACTGAGATGTTTTCAAACAAATGTTCTACTTTTAGTGTTGTGCCTAAGGCATTTGACTGCTAACCAGAAGGCTGGCGGTTCAAACCTACCAGCCACTCTTCAGAAGGAAGGTGGGGCAAACTACTTCTGCAGGGATACCACCTCAGAAACCCAGGGAGGGGTTGCTATGAGTTGGGGCCTGACTCGATGGAAAAATAACAACAACAACAACAATATACCTGGTTGGTAGAAACTAATAGTCAAATAAACACTGGGGGCCGTTTATTTATCAATGTGAAAGTCTAATTAATGTCTTTGGAATGTTAGTAAATAATTACAAGATTGAAAGTGCATTTTTCCATATATTTCTGAAATAAATTGGTTAGACCATGGGAAAAAAATCGAGAAAATGTGTGTTATGGTCTCCTTTAGAAGACATGAAGAATAGCTTTTCATTTCTATTGGCAAGGAATTCTGCTCCTGCCTACCTGTGTTTGCTTGCTAAGAGGAGGATAAGAGTTGAACACATTCTGTAAATGGAAAATTCCTCTGCAAAGGCTAGCAAATCAGTAAGGTTTAAGTTAAAATATTGCTTTAAAACCATTCAAATAGAATGGATGAAATAATCTTTTTACTTTACAATAACTTTATGACTTTGTGTGGTGGGGAGAGAATAGGAAGTTTTCAGAACAATGGCTTGTAGAGCTAAGCTTTCATCTTACACTCCCTCTTTCTCTCTGATGTACTTGGTATAACTTTAAAATAATTTTAAAACCCATAGAGCTATTTAAAGATTAATTTTTTTAAAAAAAGCTTATGACTTTATTTTTTAAAGCACTATATGTCTCAGTTACATGTAACTACAGTACAAAGAACAATGGAATAGCACCTGGGAATTTTTCAGTGGGTTGTAAAGAGTCTTGACTACTTTATCTTTTTTTTTTTTTTTTTCTTCCTACTTGGCTAAACAAACACAAGTGTGCTTCCTGTCCCACTCTCTTCAGTCTTTTGGGTCACCAGAGGCCTAATTTTCATGCGGACAGCCCTGAGGGAATAATCGGCTCCTCTGAAGGGAATCCAGACAACTCCATTCTCAATCTCATAAGGACTATTGTTCCTTGGGTCATAGGAGCCCCCCGAGTAGTAGATGCCATTGAGATTGGCTGCTTGGCAGTTGTTGTACCACCAGCCTCCTCCGTAGACTTCTGCACAGTTCTCTTCCCACTGGTCTGCATCCCTGTCAAAGGTGCTGAACTGCATCCCTGCGTGAGAGGTGTACTCCGGTCCTTCCTCTGCAGAACCCTCAACCAGAGCATCCCCGGCAGTGCCCTCAAAGGAGGAGACCTGAAGGGCATAGCCCTCAGCCTCAGGACCTACCTGGAAGTGATATTCTGCATAAGCCGCATTACCCTCCCAGTCCTCTAATTCAACCCGAAGGACAGATCCCCTCAGGGTTAATATGTGGAGTTTTTCATTGCCTAGCCAGAATTCTCCTTCCCCCTTGTCATTCAGGCTGCCGAAACCTCTCTTGTAGTCTTGCCAGGTCCGGTTAAAATTCAGTGATCCATCCATTCTTTGCTGGATCATAAGCCATCCTCCCAAACCGGTCTCTTGATCGCAATAAACAGAAAAAATCTTACTGGATCCCGGTAGCTTGATACTGAAAATGCCACTTTTGGCACCTGAAGGATGTGTTTGGAGGACATCATCACAGTCTAAAAAAAAAATTGAGCTGGTTGGAGGAAGTTACTCTCATTTAACTTTACAAAAATAGGCATGGACCAGAATAAATGACAGCACTTATTGGCTTGCTCTTGCTTCCTTCCTTCCTTCATTCCCTCCCTGGGGAAAGGATGCACTTACATGGAATAGAACCTATCCCAGTGCAAATGAGGGGATTTTCATTAGTGGAACTAGAATTTCACTGCATATAAAGCAAATAACAAGCAAAGATATGTAAGCATCAATTAATACAAATATAATTTGTTTGTAATCTGATCTAAATACCTACTGAGACACATACTAAAAACCTGGATTAATGAAAGGGGTACAATTGCAACAACACACATTTTGAATGGTGAAGGAATTTGGTTAAACAAACTCAAAATCGAGTTTCAGAAGGAATCATTCATTCATTTAACAAGAATTTATTGAGTATTGCTCTCTGCATTTTCAGGCATTTGGGAATACAGAGAAGAGTGTGATAGCCAACGTCCCTGCCCTCATGGAACTTACAGTCTAGCAACAAAACCAGAGAAATAAAAGTGGAAATTCAATAGAGTATGATAGAGGGTTAGGAATAAAAGGGCAAGGTACTATGGAAACACACTGCAGGAATAATTTAGTCTAGGGGGTCAGGGAAGCCTTCATGAAAGGAGAAGTGTGGATACCTCTGGTAAGACGAGTTTTAGTATCGCTTCTCGTGGTGCTATGGGCTCCTCTGAGGTCTTCACTTCCGGCTTCATCTGCCATTTTGTGGGTCTTGGTTTCAAATGTTCTACTGGCTACAAATTGTTTTTTATGAGTTGAAGTTTTACCACTGGAAGGGAACTCAGATACCCCAAGGTCTGTGAAGATATCAGACGCTGAGCCCCCAGATTGGGTCCTCCTTTCAAATTCTTTGAATGTAGTTGACAATGTACCTAAGGATGTTTTCCCTGTTGAGTCAGTGTCAAAGAAAGCAGCTTCCATGGGGTGCCTAAGGCGAAACTCATCCAGGCCACCTGTGCCCATCAAAGTACGGTATGTATCTAAGTTGGTTGCATCACCACAGTCAGAACCATCTTCAGAGTTCACTACTTCTTTGATTACTTCTCGGCGACCATCAGGGCCTATAACAGTCTTAGTAATGGTTTTAGAGCATGAATGACGAGTGGTTATTGTGCCACTGGAGGTGGTGAGTGATGGTTGTGCCACCTTTTCACCAATCCGGAGCTCTTTCTCTCCTTTAGAAGTGACTAGTTTACCTGTGTGGAACTCTTTCACTTTTCCTGGATTTATACTTCCTGGCACTTCTTCAAATTCACCCCAGTCTGGGTTGGTAGGCCTGGTGTTTCCAAAGTCTGAGGTATCTGGTCTAAAACTTCCATGTCCAGAGCTCCCAGCGCTCCAAGTACCAGAGCTTCCAGGATTCCGAGTATCAGAGCTCCCAGTGCTCCAAGTACCAGAGCTTCCAGGATTCCGAGTATCAGAGCTCCCAGTGCTCCAAGTACCAGAGCTTCCAGGATTCCGAGTATCAGAGCTCCCAGGGTTCCAAGTACCAGAGCTTCCAGGATTCCAGTGCCCAGTACTACCAAGTCCAGGCTTCCTGGAACTTTCAGGTTCTGATCCTGTTCCATAAGAGTCTCCTCGGGCAGGCCCATCTCTACCAGGCCTCTCTAACTCCATTTTCATCTGCTTTGTTTCTACCAGCGTCCTCCACTCTGGAGGAGCCTTCTGAAGTTGGCTCTTGAAATCTCCAGGAACCAAGTCTGTAACAGGGCTCATTTTTAACAATGGCAAGTGTGTTCTTTCTCTAGGAGGAAGTAGGTTTTTGGCCATGACCTGTTCAAGCTGTCTCTGGTGATCTTCATAGTCCTTTAGATCTACATTGTGAGCTAAAGATCTACTACATGACCCTTTGCAAGATCGGATCTTAATATCAATGTCCACCTAGAGAGAAAGGGAGAAAGATAAAGAGAGAAAGTAGTTATAAATAAATAAACTATGTGTATTGAGTTCCTGGTACAAAAAGAAAAAAAAAAAAAACAACTCACTGTCATTCAGTCGATTCCTACTCATAGCAACCCCTATGGGATTTTCAAGGCTTTAAATATTTATAGAAGTAGATTGCTTCATTTTCCTGGGTGGCTGGTGAGTTTGAACCTTTTAGTTTGTAGCCAAATGTCTTACTCACTATGCCTCCAGAGCTCCTTTGTGTTCCTGGTAGTTAATGTAATTTTGGAAACTAGCTTCATTTTTAAGATTTGGAAATCTGCTAACCATGCTCATTATTTTCCATTTATACTGCATACTCAGTAGAAGAGGTGCTGAGTATTCATGTTCTTGCTCCCTGTAAGGCTAAGTCATGACAAACAATGGGGACAACTGGGATTCATCTTAAAATGAAAATGGATCAAGAGTAAAGTGACAATTCCTTGGAAAGGAAATGCTAAGAAGTGATCCTCAGTGAGAATGACACAGAAGACTCAGAGCCATGTGATGTCATGTATAAAGTAAGGGTTTTGCAATCAGGCAGACAGGGACTTAACATTTTCTTTTGAAATTTACCATACATATGCCTTTGGAATATATCTGAGCTTGTTTCTTCATCTGTAGAATAGGAAAAATAGTACAAGTTTGTAAGTAGAGAAAGGACTCCCTGGGTGGTAAGAATGACTAAGTTCTGGGCTACTAACCAAAAGATTGGTGGTTCAAACCCACCCAGATGAACCTTGAAAGTAAGACCTGGTGATCTGCTTCCAAAAGATCACAGCCTTAAAAATTCCATGTGTGGTTTTGCTCTGCATGTGTGGGATTACCATGAGTCTTAATCTACTCAACGGCAAATAAAAAACAATAGCAATGAATGTAACACTTAGTTCTGTGTATAATAAGCATTCAATAAATGATCATTGCCTCCCTTTTTCCTGCTGTTCAAAAACAAGAAAATCTTCATTAGAGCCACATACTTACCTCCAGTTGTTTCATTTCTACCATCTGAAGCCTGACATTTTTCTGCAGAAGCTGGATGCGCTGTACTTGTTCTATGACTTTGCGCCTCAGAACTTCAATTCTGCTTCTCAGATCTTCTGAAGCTTGGTTATAGACATTATCTTTGTCTGAAATAGGAAATACATGTAAAATGAAGTAGGGGCTGAGTGCTTTGCTTGCTTGTAATAGCCAGCTGAAAAGGACATGTGCTTATAAATGTTCCCCAATTTTATTTTGATTATGGCATAGTGCCTAAGACATTTGAATGTTAACCAGAAGGCTGGAGGTTCAAACCCACCAGCCACTCCTCGGAAGGAAGGTTGGGCAATCTACTTCTGTAGAGATACCGCCTCGAAAACCCAAGGAGGGCTTGCTATGAGTCGGATCTGACTCCACGGCAGTGTGTTTTTTTCTTTCTTTCTTTTTTTAGTAGTCTTTATGGACTTATTGATTTGTGAAATCCGCATCTAGTAGACATTTGATTTTTGCACAATGCTATATCCTACTATCATCCATGCATGCCACATACGTTGTCTCATTAGAGATTAGCAATCCAAATAAATAAAGAAATTTCTTTAGAATATTAAAGGTGTAATTAGGGGATAAAACAGTCATTTCCATCACTGTCTAATTTTTTTTATTATGTCCTTAATCAGGGTACTTGAACAAATTATTGAATATTCTTACTGATGAGTTTTTGTTCCTATGTACAGATTTGAGATGGTTCCTGAACTTTCCTAGGGTGAACAAGATCATTCCCTTGCCAGCTAGTGTTGCACCAATGACATTGTATGCAAGTATCACCTAAGGATACAATTTCCATGTTTTGCAGTCAATAGTCATTGCCATTTAAAAATCATTTAAGACCTCCTTTTAAAAGGCCTTCCCTTGTTTGCCTTTCCTGTTATTCCAGAAGGAAAGAGTCTCATATTCTCTTTAGAGAGTCAAAGCAAAGGTTCAGGAATTGGGGGCCCAAGTAAACTGATTGCCCATACCAGGGACAAATCTGATGCTTCTCATCTCTAATATATGTCTTTATGGAAAGAAAAAAATCATCAAATTTCTCCAAATGAGATCCTTTGAGAAAGATATAGCATGGCTTTCTGTTTTAAATAATTTTTTAAAAAAATTTACATTGTTAGCTGTGTGGTATCTGTGGATTCAAATTCCAGCTCTATCACATAACAACTTTGTGTTTTTGGGCAATCCTTTGACCTATCAATTTTCTCCTTCTCAAAATGGGAACAAAAATATCTGCTCAAAGGTCTGGTCTATTTCATTTTCAGTATATAGTCTTGAAAAGAACACATGTACACTCTAGTCTTCAATCCAGAATTCTGACTTGCTTTGTGACCATAAACAATTTTAAACTAAGCTTTTTATGTTATAAAAATAACAAAAACAAAGCCCTTCTTAAAATTAAGGGATATAATAGAGGCAAGTGTTTCTATACCAAGTTTTTTGAAACTAAATCTCAGTAGCTATAAGAAGACAAATTTATTTAAGATTTTTGCAGTTGTTTTCAGCTATAAATTTAAAGTAGTAAATATGTACTACTTACTATTGGCAGCAGCAAAATCCCCTCTCAGAAGTTCCATTATATTCCTGGTCACTGAATTAGAATCTTTATTGTTCTTCTGAAAATCCAACAGGATATTTTCAAGCTTTTCGATTCTGTTTGTAAAGTCATGATTGACTTCATCAATCAATCCTTTCATCCTACAGCCAGAAGGACACTTGTTGTTCTGAAAGTGGAGGGGAAATTTTATTAGATCTAGTACATACTTGCAGTTTCCCTGTGGTCTCTGTTGCTTCCCTACCCCATCTCTTCAGATCATCTATTGCCTTAAAAGTGGTTAAGGGGATGGGTTAGAGACCATGGAAAAACTCTAAAATGAAGGTCCACTTAACCAGATATTAGTCCATTATCACTGAGTTGCTTCCAACTCATAATGACCCTAAAGGAGAGTAGAACTGCCCTACAGGGTTTCCAAGGCTGTAATATTTTTAGAAGCAGACTGCCATATCTTTTTCCCACAGAGCAGCTTTTGGGTTAGAACTGCCCACTTTTAAGTTAGCAGTCAAGTGTTTTAACCACTGTGCCACCATATTTAACTACATATTAAAAAAAAAAAAACCCCACCAAACTCACTGCCATTAAGTCGATTTTGACTCATAGCGATCCCTCCTTGGGTTTCCGAGGCAGTATCTCTTCGGAAGTAGATTGCCCAACCTTCCTTCTGAGGAATGGCTGATGGGTTTGAACTGCCAGGCTTCTGGTTAGAGCAGTCAAATGCTTTGGCATTATGCTACCCCATGAAATGTTAAGGCTACAATACTCAGATTCCTAGGATTTGCCTTAATATACAACTTAAACTCAATCTACTAATCTCACTAAGGCTCCAAAGTTTGAGAGGTACGAGTCATTTTGGTAATAAAAACAGTTTTCAGGACTAGGTTTCTTTCCATTTGTCTCTTATATTTGGCACGTAAGAAACCATTAGATGATTTCCTATTGGAAAAGTTTTCTATGACTAACCGCTCTCTGAGCACTTCCAACACCTCAGGAGAGGAACCTCCCCCTCCCTCTCCCCACTGCTCACCCAGTCATCATCAGAGCAGAAGGGCCAGTTTGTCTCTTTGCAGGCAGATTGCTGTTTTTCAACAACCCTTGGACCACGTACACCTGCTCCTTCAGCTAGAAAATCACCTTCATCTGTATTGGCAGTCTTTAAAATTTCAAACACACACACAGGAGAGTGAGAAAGAGCAACTTTAGCCACTAAGGAGGACACAACATTGATGTGCCTACAAGTCCCAACAAAGAGAGATTAAGAACACCCACCACCCACTGGCTTTGGGGCCTCCATGAGCTTCAGGTTTCTCATCTTTCAAAAACCGTTAATACCCATTTATGAAAATTAAGTGAGATAAAGTGTACAAATTTCTTAATTGTGCTTGACACTAAGCACATAATGATAGACATTTTAAAGAATTCACTATAAAAGGAAAATTACTTAAATAAACAAAGCTATGTCAATTTCATCTTTTCATTTTTTTCATTAATGTCTGGAGAGAGAAAAATAGTTGGAAAATTCAGAGTTTTTTCTCCTCTAATTCTTGAAAAAATTCACATTACCTTATTTAATCTCCCATTCTCCTTCAGATTTCTACCATAACCTTTAGAGGTGGATCAATAACTTAATCAAGAATATACAAAGGGTAAAAACGTGGCCAATTCAGACTTAGGAATGGATTTTAGGCTCATTACTCATGCAATGATTGCTTTTTGTTTGAAATAGCAAAAATATATATATATATATATGGAGAGAGAGAGAGAGAGAGAGAGACTAAAAGCAAAATAATAGGTCATGAATGACAATTTTTTTAAACCTTACAGCTAGAAATAGAGATTTTTAAAAAAATTCTATTGTGATCCATCAGATGAAAGAAATATAAAATAATTATTCCAACAACATTTTACATTCCATTAATGAATGTGGATTTTAGGTGTTAACTGTTTTTACTCTATACCATTAATATTAAAAAAAAAGTTGTCATGACTATTTTAACCCAGAATTGTTTAATCCTGTAATATATTAACATTTACAATCTTTTTCTCATTTTAAAAAATTCAAATAGTAATAATTTAAAGAATCAAGAACAATCTATTTAAAGGAATAAGTACGATTCTTTTATCTAACAAAAAAAAATAAGAACTTCAAGCACATTTCAGAATAAACAGTACAATAACAATAACAGACAAAAAATATCCAATATCCCCAGTGACTAAGTGAGAAAAGTGAAATAATTGAAACCTATGTGTAATCTACAATATCACTTTAGTAAATGATTTATTTCCTCAAAAGTTTTTATTTATTATTTTATTATAAAGGATAAAATTAAGTTAGAAAACTTTAGTTTTTTCTGTTAACTCTCTGGTATTAGGGTTTTTGAGCAGTGAACAGCAAGAAATAAATTAGAATTAACATCATGGATAACTAACCAGGAAGTACATGCGTTTCTTGAATGTATTTGTCATGGTTTAGTTCAAACTGGTTCAGTCATGCTCCTTGCAGCAAAATCAAAGCAGAACAAATTTGTAAAATGTGGGTGTTGTTGTTGTTGTTATGTGCCATTGAGTCAGCCCCGACTCATAGCGACCCCTCCTTGGGTTTCCAAGGCAGTATCACTATGGAAGTAGATTGCCCCATCTTCCTTCTGAGGAGTGGCTGGTGGGTTTGAACCACCAGTCTTCTGGTTAGCAGTCAAGTGCCTAAAATGTGGGTGTACTGGAACAATAATGAAAATAGGAAAATTATGGGTTAAGTCCTGGAATGGGAGACTTGGAAGAGGCACACTGAACACTTTCAGGAGCCTGATTCAAGAAATTTGAATTGTTGCCAGGACTGTGGAGATAGGCACACACATTAAGCCTTGAGGTTGGCCATCATCTTTGAGGTAGGCACTATTGTTTCACAACTGTGCTGATCAAGAGATTTGGTTGCTATGCTATATACATGTACACATGCTGCTCTTGTTTTCTAAAAGGTAGGTTAAGTTTCCAGCAGGGCATCAAACCATAATTTTTCCCATTCTGGTTATAGTTCCCATACACCACATTTTGAAAATTTAGGTCTGCTCCAGTGTTGCATCATCTGCTATGACTGAACTTGGAAGAATCACTTCAGAGCCCTGAAAGATATTTTGCCTTTTTTTTAAAAAAATAAATAAACAAACAAATAAATAAATAAATAAACACCAGAGGGAAAGAGAGAAGAGAAAAGTAAAGAGATCATACCCATACAGTGCCCACCACAGTCAGGACCAGGCAGAAGATCCTCACAGACACCATCTTTTCTGAGGGTGGGACTAGCTCATGAAGAGCACTCCAGCTGAAACAAAGGAGGTTTGCCTTTCCATTTAAATCTGCAGGGGGCTTAGGTAATGATTACCTTTGTCCTGTTTAGAGGATCAATGAACACTCTACATCTCTTGCTCCTTTGAGTTTGATATCCCAGAAATTCTTGCTCAATCTCCCTGTGCTTGTTTGCTTCTGATAAGTTGTTGCAAAGTTAACATTTGATTCTCTAGCCAGCAGTTAGGGGAAGATCCCACATTCCAGGAACAGAGTGATTTTGAAGATCCAAAGGGGGCATATCCATACTTTGAAACTGGAAAGAAAATGAAAAGTGGCTGAGGCAGGCTAGCTGTAACCCATTGTGAAGCAGAGATTTAGCAAATCATATTTCACTTTATGTAGGAATTAGGATTGGTACATCTGATTTAAAAAAGAAAAAAATATTTGTGGTGATAGGCTGACACTGAAGGCCTCCTAGAAGTTTACCTTTAACAGATTAGTTTCTTCTATCTGAAATGCTTAAGGCAATAGTCCCTGAAACCAAACAGCCTTGGTTCATAATCCTGACTACACCATTTCCCAGCTCTGTGCTCTTGGACAAGTTGCATTACCTCTTTATGCCTCAGTTTTCTCTTTTGTAAAATGAAGATAGATATAACCTCCAGCTGGACTTTTGTGAACAATAACTGGCACATGTAAGTGCTCAGCAAGTGTTAACAATTATTATTAGAGAGCACGCATTGCTGTGAAAAATGCTATTTCTTCCTTGTGTCTGTTTCTGTGAACATGCTAATTTACTTTACCTGGTCTTTAGCTCCATATCAAAATTCTCCTTGGTTTAAAGTAGTCAGATTTGGCAAATACAAACAGGACTACCAATTTCAACTAAATTTGAACGTCAGTTAAATAAACAAACACTTTTCCAGTTTAAGTGTGCCCCTTACAATATTTGGGACATACTTTATACTAGGCAATTTTTGTGTTGCTATTTTTCTGAAATTCAAATTTTACTAGGAGTCCTGTATTTTATCTGGCAACCCCACAATGGCTCAAAATACTATGGCTGATTCTGGTAATAGTAATAGCTAATATTTAGTGAAGTTTGCTAAGTATCAGGCATTTTTCTAGACACTTTTAATGTTTCATTGAAGTTCTTCAATTAAAAGTAATCTCTTGTTCTTCCCCATAATAGACCATGTACCACTCATGGCATTTTCATTTATCCTGTTATGCATCTTCCCCACTAGATACTAAACTTCTTGGGAATTGAAATTATGTTTCACAGATCTTTAATTTCTCCCCAAAACTGAGCATAGTGGTTGGCACAGTGATGTTTGTTGAATAAACAAACAAAGGAAATCTCTGGTATGGCTATGGAGGAACAAGAAAGCATGAGTGAGTTCTACTTTTGTGAGGCTGATGAACTGCCTCTTCAGGCACTATAGATATATGAAGCTAGTGCCTAAGGCACTTGACAGCTAACCAGATGGCTGGAGGTTCAAACCTACCAGCCACTCCTCAGAAGAAAGGTTGGGCAATCTACTTCTGTAGTGATACTGCCTCGGAAACCCAAGGAGGGGTCACTATGAGTCGGGTCCAACAACAACAACAACAAAATGGCTGAAAGCCCTGGTAAAGGATAGCACTCTCCTTCAGTGCTTGTTCTACTTAAGCATCGCTGTGTGAAGGGTTCCTCTTTGTCCTATCAAACTCGCTCTTGATGCAGCATTCTGGGATTTCTAGAGGCATCTGCAGAGCTCAGAGAGAGCCTTAGAGCCCCACCCAGGTTCTGAGGGCAATGATTCCACAGAAAGCTGGGTTACACTCACCCACAATGACTGAACTGGCAAAATGGCTGGCATTCATAGAAAGTAAGAGACTTCATTTCCTTACTTTTCTATACCCACAAGAATTGCCCCAATGGGAGGTGAACAAGAAGTTCCTGAGAGGAATGTGATAGGATTCAGGTGATTTGATTAAAAATAATCTGACTGAAAGTAAATTAACAGAAAATAATTTGACTGAATTTTGATATGGAGCTAAAGACCAGGGAAAGTAAATTAGCATGTCCAAAGAAACAGACACAAGGAAGAAATAGCATTTTTCACAGCAATGCATGCTCTCCAATGATGATTGTTAACACTTACTGAGCACTTATTATGTGTCAGTTATTCTTCACAAAAATCCAGGTGGAGGTTATCTCTATCTTCATTTTACAAATGAGAAAACTGAGGTATAAAGAGGTAGTGCAACTTGTCCAAGAGCACAGAGCTAGTAAATGTAGCCAGGATTATGAACCAAGGCTGTTTGGTTTCAGGAGCTGTTGCCTTAAGCATTTCAGATAGAAGAAACTAATCTGGTAAAGATAAACTTCCAGGAGGACTTCAGTGTCAGCCTATTACCACAAACTTTTTTTTTCTTTTTTAAATCAGATATACCAATCTTAATTCCTACATAAAGTGAAATATCATTTGCTAAATCTCTGCTTCACAATGGGTTACAGCTAGCCTGATAGGATTCAAGTGATTTGATTAAACGTCATCTTACTGAAAGTAAATTAACAGAAAATAATTTGACTGAATGCCCCCACTCTGGTGCACAATCAGGGCATTTTCAAGAATGCCACCTGAGAGCTTTATATTTGCTGTTTGCCATTTCTTTCAACTAACAGCTTGTCTTAATTGCTTACTTCATCCAGGGCTCTGCTCAAATGGCACCTCTTCAGAGAGCCCTCCCTAAACACTGCTCTAGTGTTCTTCATGGAGCTTTATTACTATTGGACAATATATATTTTGTAAGTTATTTGCTTATTTGCGTCTCTCCCACTTTAAGTTTCATGAGGCCAATGCACATTGCTTAATACAATGCTGGGCAAAGAGTAAGTCCTGAAAATATTTGCTGGGAGGATGAAAGGCTGTCACATGGTGCCTCACTATGGTGGAAACCTAATCAGCTTTTCAAGGAGTGAGGTGTGGATTCTAGCTAAATTACATGGACAAATAGCTTAAATTCTCTGAGCCTATTTACCTATCTTTAAAATGAGAGCATGACAATATTTACTTCACCAGGTTTTTGTGAGGATCATATGGAATTATATGTGTGTGTGTGTGTGTGTGTGTATATATATATTGCTGTTGTTGTTATGTGC